TTGACACATTTTGATACTACTTAGATACGGGATCGCGCAGTCCATTCTCTATGTCTTTGATGGAAAATAACCAAATTATAATAATAATTTATGTTTAACATTTTTATGTTATATTATTTTAATAAAGTAAGTAAATAAATAATTTTTAATTTAATATAGTTTTGAATAATCTAAGTTTGCTTTGCATACACAGTTGATGTACTTAAGATGAGCAGGTTATGTTTAAATAATTTGGTATTTTAGATTAAAAATGAGCAAAAGAACAAAAACAAAATCCATAATATGGAATTATTTTGAAAAGCAGTGCAATCAATTCGCCTTGTGTTTATTTTGTAATAAAGAATACAAAACAAGTGGAAACACAACAAATTTACATGATCATTTGAAAAGGTATCATGCAGAAGAATTAAAAGATACGAATGATTCTTCTAACGAATTGGATATAAGCAGTATAAGCACAACGCCAGAAGCAGAAGCAAAGAAAATAAAGAAGCAGAAAATAATTACTTCATATGTTTCTAAGAAAAGTTTATTATATAACGAAACTGATGAAAAAAAACGTAACTTGGACAAACTAGTAGCATTAATGATTGCAAAGGATTTGCAGCCATTTTCGATTGTGAACGACAAAGGATTTCAGGCTCTAGTTCATGCATTAGATCCGAAATACAAATTACCGAATAAAACAACATTGCGAAATACGATACTGCAATCTTTGTTTATCGAAGTTAATACCAAGCTACAAGATATTCTTGACCAAACAGAATATGTATCATTTACTACAGATTTATGGTCATCTATGGTAGGAGAGGGCTATATCACAATCACTTGCCACTTTGTTTTACATGGAGATCTTAAAACTGTGGTACTAGAGACAATTCAAATAGAGGGTAATCATACAGCTGAGCATATTAAGGAGCATATTGAGGTAAAGAAAGATAATATAATTAATAATAATATTAGAGATATGCTAAATTAATATTACTTTTTCAGAAAGTTATTAAAAAATGGCATTTGAAAGATAAAGTACAATGCATCGTTACTGACAATGCTCAAAATATGATTAATGCTTGTAATCTGCTTAAAATAAGGCATTTACCTTGCTTTGCTCATACCTTAAATCTAACAGTAAATGATGGGTTAACTACACAACAAAATAAAACTGATATTGAATTTCTTTTACAGAAATGTAAACAAATTGTTAGATATTTTAAAAAAAGTACTGTTGCAATGGATAAATTACGAGAAGAACAACGCAAAAGAAATTTGAAACAATTAAAACCATTGCAAGAGGTTGCAACAAGGTGGAATAGTATTTTGTACATGATTAAACGACTGATCGCTTTAAACACAGAAGACTGTTTAATTGTAACTCTGTCAAAATTGCCCAAAGCGCCAGAATCACTAAACTTTAATAACTTCATTGAGTTAAATGAAATGGTAAAGGTGCTTCAACCTTTTGAGACCGCAACAAATCAAATTTCTGGACAGAAATATGTGACGGTATCGTTAATTATCCCTTTGGTGGTAGGACTATATAATAATTTAACTGAAATAGAGCACTCACTTACCAGTGATATTGGGAAACAACTATGTACAGAATTAAAATTATCTATAGTAAAACGACTCTTTATATATGAACAAAGAACTATTCCTAAAGTTGCGACATTATTAGATCCTAGATTAAAGAAATATGCATTTCGTAATATAGAAAATGCGAATAGTGCTCAGCAACTTGTTCAACAAGAAGTGGCTCAACTAATCAGAAAAGAGAAACAATTGCATTTGGACAGTGAACCATCTACTTCTCAGATATTGTCACCTTCATCGGTTTCATCAATATCGAGTGAGTCAACTAAAGCAACGACAAATGTTGGATTGATGGATTTTTTATACCAGCGCATTTCTCAAGTAACAAACACGTCAAATGCGACGGCAGACAGTATTATAATAACTCGTCAATATTTGGAATTGCCCACGCTTGAATTGAATGAAAATCCGATTTCATATTGGATAGAATATCCTGCAAAGGAACTTTGGAAGATAGCTGAACGCTACATTTGCGTCCCAGGTACCTCAGTTCCATCCGAAAGGATATTTTCTAAAGCAGGACAAATAATTTCAGCAAAACGTTCAAATTTAAAGCCTACCATTGTAAACGCGATAATATTTTTAAATCAAAATTCATGGTTAATTGAAGAATAGATTTTT